CATTGGCATTTTGTTGTTGTTTTTCTTTTTAAAATAAATCTTGTATTCGAGTACATGAGAAAAATTACCAGAGTTATAATTTGAAAAATTGAGCAAGAAGTCTTAAAACATCATCCTCAAAGGGAAAAAAAAAATGTCTAAAAGCATGTCAAAAAAGTTAGCAGCATTATTAGTAACCAAATAAATGAAAGTAAAAACCATTATTTTCAGCTATAAAGTTAATACAGATTAACTTTAAAAGATTTATTTATTTGTGCATACAGAATTGGGGTACAAGCCAGAGTTGCAGGGGCAGTGAGAGGCTTCACTAGAGACAGAGTGGGGAGCAGAACAGGCAGACTGCGAAGTACACTGCTGAGGGGAGAAGCGGGAAGGCCAGGAGAGGTCTGCGGCATGCTATGGGTCACCTTCCGGGCGGGGATGGAACTCACACGGAAGCGGCTATGGCCAGCTTGCAGTGCTGCATCCTAACCTGTTGTGCCACCAGGGAGGGCCAACACAGTTTTTAAAAACATGATATATTAGCAAGAACTGGGGGTTCTAAATATCTAGACTAACGAGTAAAAAAAGTCATATAAATACGCAGACAAAACTGAAGCATAAACATGTGCATCAGCAGCAGCAGCAGCAGCAAAATAGAGGAAATAACATGAAAATCCAAAAATAAGACAATGGCTAGGTAAGTGAAGCTATTCATAAGATGAATTATTTTGCAGTAAGAAAAACTTACTAGAAACAAAAAACACTAACGGGCCCTCCCTGGTACGCAATGGTTTGGGACACAGAACTGCAAGGTAGCTGCAGTGGCTTCAGTGCGAGATCAATCCCCGCCCGGGAGGTGACCCACATGGCGCGGCAGACCTCTCCTGTCTCCTTGCTACTCCCCTCAGCAGTGTACTTCATCAGTCAACCTGTTCAGCTCCCCGCTCTGTCTCTGGTGAATCCTCTCACCACCCCGCACCTCTGGCCTGTACAACAGTTTTGTGTGCATAAATAAATAAATAAATCTTTTTTAAAAAAAATAAAAACACAACAAAGTCATGTGATCTTTTAAAAGAAGTCTAGAGCTCTACAGTATGATTTCAATTCTTCAAAAAATGGTCTGTCTGGGTATAGGAAGTGAACTGGTGGTAAATGATCCTATATTTTCAATAGCAGTTCCTTAAGCATCAGGGTAATTATAAGTACTAGGCACACGTTCAGCACTTCATATAGACTGCATTACATTGATATTTGCAACTATCTAGATGGTGGGTCTTTATCCCTGTTGTGTAAGTGAGAAACTGAGGCTCAGAGCTGGTAGGTAATTTGACGTTGGCAACAAAGTTGTTAAATGGAGAAGCTTGGACACAGGTAAGGTCAGGTTGACCAGAAACTTGTGCTCATCGTGTCCATGACTGCTTATGGATAATTTTAATTTCCTTATCATACATTTTCCTGTGTTCTGGGGGTTCTAAAATAAGTCTATCTTTCCTTTGTCATCTGGAAACAAATCAATAATATAAATGTGACACGAAAGCCATGCATATTCACCAAGTGACAATTTACTTCCTCCAAAGATGTAGGACCGTGAACATGATCTTTAGGATCTCACACTAGGGTGTCTGGTGATGAAAATGAGAGTTCTTAGAAAATGTGATACTGAATCTTAGAAGATTTTTATGAGACCTGCCAATTCTGCAAAATGCATTCATTTAAAATCTACTTGAATCCAACACCTGCCTTTTGGCAGATATTGTGCTAGGGATTGGCACAAAAGCAAGAATAATGATCTAAATGACTTTCTTTTGATATTGAGAAAGTCTTTGGGAGATAAGGAACAATAGGAAGAGGTAGGGAAGGGCAGAAGACTTATCCCTCTGGCGCTGAAAGTTCTAGTGACCTATATCTCGGGATTGTTTATTTTGGTAAGCTTCTTATGAACACTTAGGATATTTCTAAGGATCCAGGACACCCTCTTGAAAATGGCATCTGATATTAAGTCTTTATGATGCATTATAGTAAGATAATGATACTTTACAGTAATCCGATGAAATGAAGTACTTTTAATAGCACACGCCATTATTTTCATTTCGTAGGTAGAGGGTGGTCCTCACACTTCCCCTCTGATTGCTGCAGTATCTTCACTGCTAAGTAAGTAGAGATGGACTCTCAAGAAGGTTCTCAGTGGAAATACTACTGAAAGGAAGCCCAGCCCTTCCTCATGCCTATCTTCACTTGTCTAGAAAAGCCTGTCATTATTTAGCGAAGGGACTTGTATGATTAGAGCGGCAGACTAACAGGTAAGTGCTTTCTGACTTTCTAGGCTATGAGTCAACCAGAAGTTTTATCAATTTAGGTTTAGATCTGGATGTTATATAAAGTCAAATAGGTGTGTATGTGTGTTTTCTCCCAACAAAGTCCTTGGCTCTTGTGGTCAAATTGTTAAGGAATAGATGATGATGATGATAATGCAGATGACGACATGGTGACATATAAGTATAAAAGGGATGATGACACAAACTTTGAACATTAAATAAATAACAGCCCTGGAGGAAGATCCGTAAAAGCAGAGATGTACTTGAGAAGGAAAAGCTAAGCCAGATGCCTGAGAACTGAACAAGGCAGCAAATGAACTCTCCTTGGAGACTCCTTTTCTTTGTTTTTTTTTTTTAAGATTTATTTATTTGTGCATACAGAACTGGGGTACAGGTCAGAGGTGCAGGGGCGGCGAGAGGCTTCACCAGAGACAGAGCTGGGAGTAGAACAGGCAGATTGAAGAAGCACACTGCTGAGGGGAGCAGCGGGCGGATCAGGAGAGGTCTGCCCGCCATTGTTCACCTCTGGGGCAGGCGGGAATCGAACTCATGCGAAAACGGCTTTAGCTTCTCAGTGCTGTGCTTTAACCCGCTGCGCCACCACGGAGGGCCTGGAGACTCTTTTACAAAAGGACTGAACGCCAAGGAAGGGTCCAGGAACCAACACAAATGGGTTGAAATTCGTACAAAAGATACTTTCTGCTGTTTGTTCTGTAAAGCAGTTTTCTTCATCTTTCAGACTACAGAGTGTCAGTGCCACTCATGGACCGAATAAGTGATGCCATCCAATCCTTTTGTAATAGCAAGCTCTTGTTTTCTCCTCTCCAAAAATCATAAACTGTTTCCCCCTGGTCTCTTTAAATACAGTTTTGAAGTTTATAAAAGCAGTGACTAAATCTACTGTCCCATGAATGTGCTAATTACTGTTTTAGTTTCATCTAACAGAAGAAATAGTTAATCACTGTAACTTAGCTGGAGGAAGCGAAACTGCTCATTCAGTTGAATTAAAGAGTACCAATCACCTTTATTTTTAGTTATTAGTTTTATTAGGTATATTTCATGGGTACCTGCTATTGTTACAAGCAAAATTAAGCACGAGTACAATTTACTTAAAGCGGTTCATGGTTTTCAAAATCACTTAATACTGAGACTGTCTAGCAGCTATGTAACCAGGAGGAAAGCACTGTTTCCCGTTACCAAAGTGAAATTTGCTCGTCATTTCTCCCATTAAATGATTTTCAGAAGGGATTGTCACCGGAAAATCAGAGTGTATAAACGCCGGAAATGCCAATGGCACCCAGTCTCTGAAATGCTTACCCTAAGAGATCCAAACTATGAGAATGCTCCTATTCTTTGTGAGAGCCAGCCCGTGATGGAAATGTTCTCGCTGTGAAGCAATTTTACAAGGCAAAAGACACAACTAAAGACAGCCTGCAAAGTTCTCTAGACAAACCTTTCAGCGACTCTCTTCAAGAAGGAAACATTTACGGAGGGGGAGCTGAGGTTAAAAACTATCCAAGCGCCCACCCGTCCAGCCGGAGCCACTAAGACTGTCCCAGGTGAGCCGGCGGCCCCCGCCCGGGAGGAGGTGGCTGAGGTCGCTGGGCGGGTCCCCGCGAAGCGAGCATCTTTTAGGCTCGGCGACTCCGGCCAGCCACTCCCGAGGCTGGCGGGAGGTGCCAGGGAGTCGGCGGCGGCGGCGGCAGCCTCCCGTTGGCGAGGAGCATCTCCCTAACCGAGGCTGGCGAGGCCAGCCCCGTCCCTCCGCCATCCTCAGGTCCTCCGACATTTTTCACGGAGCCTGGGAGGTAGGCAGAAGAGGAGGAAAGCGGCCGAGTGTCTGCACCCAGCCTCTGCCGCAGCACAAGAAGAGGGAGAGGAGGAGGCTAGCGAGGAGGCGGCTATTAAACTGTGATTCCACCGATAATGAAAAGAAGCATCATCACCCACAGCCAAGGAGTCTCGGATACACCCACCTGGGCAGCGGCTCGGGGCTGGTGGGCGTTCCTCCCCCTCGCCCCCTCGGCGCCGGAGAAATCGACCCCCGCGCCCGGCCCAGCAGACCCTTTCCTTCGACCACCGGGAGGGGACAGAACAAAAGAGACCTCCCACCCCGCACACACCTAGGGTATTTTACCGAGGCTCAAGGTATTCATCCCCGCCGGCCCTGGGGTGTACGCCCTCCTCACCTGAGCAGAGCTCGACTCCCAGGTAGAGGGAGGAAAAAATACCACCGGGAGGTGATCGGTCGATTGGCTCGTGTGGATTTCACAAACCACCACCCCAATCCCGCAGGACCTCGCGCCCCCGCCGGGGCGTCCGCCGCGCTCGGCCCTCTCCGAGGCGGGTGCCCCCCGGCGCCCAGCGCTTTCCGCCGCGGACCCGATCGAGGGCTCCCCAGGCGGGCAGGACACTCGCCCGCCCCCCGGCAGCAACTGCAGGGCGGCGAGGACCGCGCCGCGGCTGCAACGCGGGCTTCAACTTCCCAAACGCGCGGCCGGTCGGGGTTCGCCGCGCCGCGCCCCTGGTCGCGCCGAGACCCTGGCGCCAGCCGCCTCCCCGCGCCCGGGCGCGGGCACTTGCTCTCTCCGCCCCCTCTTCCTCCCCCCAACCCCCTCGTTGAAAATGTTCAGCCCAGGGTGCGAAGCAGACATTTTGCTGTCATTTATTTAGCCCCGCTCGGTTCCGGAGGTCTCCTCTTACCGAGTCGCCTGGAGGTGTGGGCGGCGCACCGAGGGGGCCGGGGGCGCGGGGCTGGGCTGCTCGGTCCTCTAGCGGAGCCGCTCGGCTGCCATCCGCCCAACTTCAGCACCCGGCGGGCGAGGAGAGAGGAGAGGCAGGGGTGGAGGGGAAGGGGGAAGGGGAGG